TAAGAATGGTTTTGTTAAATAATAGTTTACCCAACATTACCTAAAAACTCCAAGAATGGTATAGTTAAATAATAGTTTACCCAACATTACCTAAATACTCCAAGAATGGTATAGTTAAATAATAGTTTACCCAACATTACCTAAATACTCCAAGAATGGTATAGTTAAATAACAGTTTACCCAACATTACCTAAATACTCCAAGAATGGTATAGTTAAATAATAGTTTACCCAACATTACCTAAATACTCCAAGAATGGTATAGGTAAATAATAATTTACCCAACATTACCTAAAAACTCCAAGAATGGTATAGTTAAATAATAGTTTACCCAACATTACCTAAATACTCCAAGAATGGTATAGTTAAATAATAATTTACCCAACATTACCTAAATACTCCTGGAACTTGAAAATCATGTATGCATTTCAAACTTAAAAATATTTGACAATTTTTTTTTGTGTGTTGATTGTTTAAGAGTTCGTAAGCAGTTGTTGGTTGTTACAAATTTAATTACAATTAGGAATGGTTTTATTCAGTACGTTTATATCTATATTGTGGTGTAAAAATAAAGTGAGCCATAACCTAGCTTTTATGGTAAAACAGTTTTATTCATTTTCAGTTATAATTTAAACCACGATTTAAGCTGAGGTTTTACTACTCAAAATGCATAAGTCAAACTAACGTCATTTTCAGTCAACATCACGTGATCCTTTACGTACAAGCTTTTTGGAAGGTGAGGATTGTCAAGTTTGGAACGTATGAAAAACTTAGTTATACCAAGTCTTCCATAATGCAAACTAACTATCGTTTCACGAATCCTACAAACTTGTAGCAAATCTTCTATTGTGCTGATATGTTAAATTCACTTATTTGAACAGAAGTTTGTGATGGAATTGTTTCATCTAAATGCTAATATTTTAGACTTCTGTCTGAAGTATATCATTATTCGTTAGACTTTATACATTATGCTATGAATTATTCGTTATTTCAGTAAAAAGTGGTCTTGATACAAACTCTTGTTGCCGTGAAAAAAAAATTTGACTGAATGGAAATAAAAATTGATTAGCTATTAGCCCTATTAAGTCTGCAACTAGGTGGCGCTAGAAGAACATTAAAAATGTTGTGCGTGTGTTTTTATAGCAAAGCCATATCGGGTTATCTGCTGTGTCTACCGAGGAGAATCGAACCCCTGATTTTAGCGTTGTAAATCCGAAGACTTACCGCTGTCCCACTGGGGGGGGGGGACATTTAAAAATGTTAAACAATAGCTTAATTCCGAAATATGCACTTAAGACTGTTTCAATTCAATCTTTTTCACTACAGTGCCTTTTATAAAAACCGGGTATTTTAATAGGAAGTTTTTAAAACATTGCACGGCTAGTGATCATAGTGTTTTTAATACAATTATAAGAAAAAATAAGGAATAAATATGACTTTAATTTTCTCTCCCCGAGAGAATATTTTTGATGTGTGCATGGAATATTTATTTGTATTGTTAAACCTCAACATAAGTCATTCATGGACAGCAACAACGCTATATTATTTCAAGGACAAATTTCACTATTAATTTAAACATTAAATATTTACAGTTTGGTTCCTTGAATGTTTTTTCGGTCATCAGTTTGTCGGACCAAGTTTTCGTCACTGATTCATTGGTTTCCAGGAAAATTATTCGTTTCAGCAATGGCGTAAAATATCTGTTTCGCTTCGGTCCCGATATTTACTTTGGCAAAGCTGTAGTACCAAACACTGTCATAAAAACGTAATTTATTGCCTTTGATAATAAGCACATTTAGCTTCGCACCACGTGTTTCCGATTACTTACCAAAAATACTCTGGTTTATAAGTTATATTGTTGATATGGAAGATATCCTTCTAACATGCAAGTATTTAGTGCTGAAAGAGAGATGACCATTAGGTCTGGAGGTTTTGGTATCGCAAACTCTCTTCTGATTGGTTGATAAAAAGCTATATTAAACATTTTAAGTAGCATCGTTGAAATATGGTTGACTAATTTAATTAAATAAGTATTACGAGGCATTATTTTTAACCTAATATTTTATCCTAGAAACCAATGATTTTCAGAAGTTACACATTTTTTAATATGCTCATATTTACTAAAGTTTTGGTATTTTGGGGATTTTATTCTACCTTTAATGACTCGCGAATATGTTGTTTCATGCTTAATACTACTGAAAGCAAAGTGCGTTTTTTTTCGTCAGACAAAATGGAATAAAAGGAATAATAACCATCCGTTATAACGACGCCCGGCATGACCAGGTGGTTAGGGCGCTCGTCTTGCAATCTGAGGGGGCGTTATAACGTGACGGTCAATCCCACTATTTGTTGGTAAAAAAAGTAGCCTAAGAATTGGCGGTGGATGGTAATGACTTGCTGCCTTCTGTCTTTCACTGCTATATTAGGGACGGCTAGTGCAGATAGCCCTCGTGTAGCTTTGCGTGTAATTCAAATCAAACCGTATAACGAGTAGGCTTCCCCGCGTGATGTAAGACAACTGCAAAAAAGTATAATTTACAGGCACACTTGGTTATCTTGTATTTTTTCCTCTTAAGATATGATTGGCAATAATTATTAAATATACACTACATGTTTCGAAAATTATTTAATTTCCGAAAATTTAATATTACGCAACTATTTTTTTGTGGATGCAATGCCTTTCGCTTAAGATTCTAATCAAGTCAAGAACAGTTTTCTCCAATTTGTCGTGCTTGAGGGCATATTACTCGTCACCCAAAGCATCAGCTTATAACTATATACACTATCGTTGTGATGACGTCAAAAGGATCTCTGTTAAAGACGTCATTGTCAAGGCGGGATGATGACACCGTGAATCGGCATTCTACGCTTGCACCGGCTGATACAATTCATCATCCACAGCTGTTTTCTTTTCTTTTGTCTTCTAATTTTTGAATAACATGCGAAACCTTTTGTGTAAGTAGCTTTTCTTTAGCAGAGTATTCTTATGTTTTTCAATTGAATATATCTCACAAAAAGTATTTTTTTAACTCTACAATTTTTATTCAAAGTATCAGAATAATTAGAACTTTTTTATTGTTAACTTTTGTCATATTTAATGTATCTCGAATCAACAAAACAAAATTTATACATAGTATTTATAATTTTTCCGCCAATTATACTCAATTAAAACATTACTGTTTTATAAAACTCGCCGAATCAAACAACTGATTAAAAAACACGCATTGATTGTAGAACATAAGCGATTAAAGTTTGTTTTGTAATTAAGCACAAAGCTACACAATGGGCTATCTGTGCTCTGCCCACCACGGGTATCGAAACCCGGATTCTAGCGTTGTAAGTACGCTGACATACCGCTGTGCCAGTGGGGGGCATAGGCGATTAAACTTCTGTTTCTAGCTAGTTATTAAGATTATTTTACTTCAAAATTTACAGAATGCTCCTCTCTTGCTAAAATAAAATACTAGAAATAGAAGATAGGTCAATTTGATATAAGGATAAAATATAATATATTCAGATGGTTTAAACCTTCTGTTGAACTCATTATGGAAATATGGTGGAAAAAATTATTTCCTTGAATTTCTTATTTAAATAAGTCTATATTGCACACACAAAAATATGCTTTTGTGAAATATGTTTTGGTAAGCTATAAATGGGTACGTTATCTAGAAGTAACATTGTTCAATTGAAGGAAAAATAGTAGTGGTTTATTTAGAATGTTACCTGGAAATAAGAACATTTAACTACAAAAACTGAACCATTTATGTGTGTGTTAAACAACGGATAGATTTGTTACCCGAAACTGAACCATTTATGTGTGTGTTAAACAATGGATAGATTTGTTACCCGAAACTGAACCATTTATGTGTGTGTTAAACAACGGATAGATTTGTTACCCGAAACTGAACCATTTATGTGTGTGTTAAACAATGGATAGGTTTGTTACTTGTACATTATAATGTGAAATAGAGGGTTGGTGAGTGCTTGAAAACTGTTTGTTTGTAATTAAGCACAAATTTATACAATCAGCTATCTGTGTTCTGTCCACCACGGGTATCGAAACACGGTTTCTAGCGTTGTAAGTCCGCAGACGTACTGCTGTGCCACTGGAAAGACGCTTGAAAATTGTGATTTTAACCTGAGTTGCTATAAGGTTATATAATGGCGACTAAGTATTTAAAATGTTTAAGTTGTGTACATTAATGACATGAGCTACACGTTGATAACACGATCTATACATTAATGACATGAGCTACACGTTGATAACACGATCTATACATTAATGACATGAGCTACACGTTGATAACACGATCTATACATTAATGGCATGAGCTGAACGTTGATAACATGAGTTATAAGTTAACGAGACAAGGAATACAAACACTCAGGGCCAAATACGTAATATTTTCTGTCCAAAATTAAATTTCATCTATAGAGTTGTGATTAAATCGAGAAAAAATTGGTATTTTTATATTTAATTATTATCATACAGAATCTAAAGTTATTATTTAGTTTTATTGAGCGATTGTTCTAAAAAAAAATTTTGGGGGGTTCTTGACGTGAACGTTTTTGTTATTTTGTTCATAGACTTGATATTGAAATAGAATAAAATGTGGTCAACATCATTCCCAAACAAACATTTTACTGTCCGAGTCTATTTCTCAAACCTAATTTATTTTTAGAAACCCACCATGGAAGAAAACTCTGTTAATTAATTTCTTTGCTTTGATGTAAGAGTGGAAAATAAAAACGATTTGTTTTCATCCTATTCGCTTCATCCTACACTAATTCACAGTAAACAATCTCATTGGTAGCAGCTACAGTGCTTTAAAGCTTGGAGAAGAGCCGTGTGCACAGCTGGGAAATCCAGGCAACAAGTTACCACCTGTTCTGACGTCATTCTACGCATCACCGTGTCTTGCAGCTGATATATCTATATATATGGTTGAGTATATACGTGATTTTCAATAAGTCGACATTGAATCACGAAGCTGCTTGGAGTTTGTAGGCTCTTGTAAACAGGAGCTTGAGAGGGGCGATAAAAAGTAAAATTTTATTCGTGTTTGACATTCCGGTAAGGATTTATAAAAAGTTCGCCATGACCTCTCAGATACCACAAAGTGCGCCAGATTTACGACGACTTTCGTGTCACGAAGCTTTAAACCGCAATAAACGAGGGTGGTCTTTAACTCCTGCGATGGACAAATTTACATGTGTTCAAAATATCTCTTCTGGTACTATTATTCGCCGAAACAGTCAGCAACGGCCGCTAGGAGATCATTCATTCTTTCAAAGCAAAGAATCAAAGCAAAAGAAAACTGGGCGATCATATTCTGTACACAATTCTTCGCACCTGCAGATGGAATTATCAGAAAAGTTTCTCTTTCGACAAAGATTTGCGAGTTTTCCACTCGACGCCAACTCCATATTCAATCCCAGACTTTCCAGATTTCCTGAAAACTACGGGGGCTTTTATCAGACACTACGGAACTTTTCATCAACGCCCAAAGGTGTGGTAAACCAGGGGGATTCTTTTCGTTCTCGCAAAAACAGCTTATCAACAAAAGATTCGCATCCTCAGAGCCTTCCAGCTTTCATCAACCAATCTTCCATTAGAAATGGCGACGTTCCTCGTAGGATCTTCAGAGTAGCTGTGAGTGGAAGTTCTGAAGTGGGCAAGTCTCTTCTAACTCGACAGTTTACTACATCTGAGCTCATTTGTACTTTCGACAGCGTTATGGGTTAGTTCTTACTCTTTTTCTATTACGTCTATCTGCATGTTATTTTTTCTGGGATTTTTATTTTATCTCTCTGAATAACTAATACATCATATGTAAGGGTCACGTTTTAAGCACATCGACATATACATACAAATAGTTTAGAAGAAATTCTTCACTGACCAGAAAGAAATGTTTTTAAATATTTTTTGATTTAATAAATTAATTAAGAAAATTACTTAAACTGGTCTTACTTTGTTTACCATAAGATTGGTGGAGACTTTACCACAGTTTATCCCAAGAAATAATTTTGACAAACTCAGTCATTTTTTGTTCAAAAACAATTCCAACTTAAATGGAATGGAATATATTCCCTCCATGTCAAAGTTAAATGTTTGTATAGAACTGTCAGCCTTAAGAAGCTGTAATAGCGAAACGTCAGCAATTAAGATATTTTTCGGATTACTGTGAATAACAGCCAATATTTTCCAGTCAACATTGAGAGATCTAAGAAGAAGGGGTATAGATATAAGGGCTGAACGTGGTCCAGTGTTTAGTGTTCTGGACTGTGGAACTGTAGGTCCATCTTTCGCGTCATGTTACCCCAAATAAAATAAAAATCGCCCTCTGCATTTTGGGGCAGTGGATGCGTTGTAAAGTCAGGTAAGAGTTGGCGGTGGATGCTGTTCACTAGCTTCCTTCCCTTTAGTCTATCAGTTTAAAATTATGGATGGATAGCGTAGATAGCCATTGAATAACTTTTTGCAAATATCCGAAAAAAAATATACATTTTTATTAATTTGTGCAACAGATTGTGTTGTTGAAAGCTGAAATAACTTGAAACACATGCTGTGTCTTATATACTACTGAAAGCCAATGAACACTTATGTGAACATACTATGACCAATGTTACTATGATTATTTGGTTAATGTTTCCTAGATACACATTAAAGTGCTATTTTGATATACTTTAGATGTATCTAAGCTGGTCTATTATACGTAAGATTAAAATGTTAGAATGTTACCCTTGATATTTCTCCCCATTGTTCAGCTATGAATTTATCACATTTCATTAGATTCGGTGTCAGAAGTCTATGTATTATGAATACATTTACTTAAATTTACATTCTAAATGTTCTCTACTATGGGTTAGGTTTATGTAGTTGATTTTATATATACACATATATATGTGTGTGTGTGTGTAACTCTTATTAGGCATTTTACGAGAAAAAGGTTTGAGATTAGGGTACCAATACGTTATATTTCACATCAACTATGAAACGTTCCTAAAATGTTATTAGCAGCTGTTACTGATGCTTAATATGAACACATGGTGAATATTGATCTATTGTTCGAGTTAATAAAGACGTTTCATACCGTTAAACTTACGACAATGTAATGACGCATCAAACTGCCCACGTGACACAGCCCTTCACGACTAATGCCCCTCTATCATTTTGTTCGATAACCATTATTATTATTTTTTAAACTCTGATCTTAACAACATAATGTAACAGTGCACAGACTATGATGTAGTGTGACTAGTGTTACTGGTTAGTTTTTGTGTTTAAAATACTTGAGGTAGCTCGAGTCACGCCGGGTAAAGCATTAGAATCAGCTTCAACAAAATTAGTGTACTGTTTTCAGGAAAATTTTCATTGTATAATTACCACATAGATCTTTTATCAAGCAACCTATGTTATACTGTTAGTCTTCATTCTCTGTCTTTTATACAAGAAGTAGAGTGTAGACGTCTGCCGGCCTTCTTAAGAACTAAAATTAAGAATTTTAGTACAGCTTAGAACACAAAACTATCAAGAACTGTCACGCTAGCTTTTAAAAATATAACATCATCAAGTCATTAAAATCGCGTTTTTATGTTCTGGTTACGGCGTTAAATAATAGAATTCGAAAGATAATATCTTAATTACTGCTATTTTATTAGAACCTTAGCATGGTTTAGTGATTTGAGACACGTTGTTACCAAACACATACATACTTTCGGCTATGGGTGCATTATGAGAGTGACAACCAATTCCGTTATTGGGTTAAAAGTAGCCGCTTGAGACGGCGGGTGCTACCGATTGCTGGAGTGTTTCTGATCTACAGTTCAAAATTATGAAAGACTATTAGTGAACCACGAGAGTCTCTGATCTGATCGTTTATCCAAATATGTGCATAACGTTCTGTTTAGGTGAACAAATAAACACATCTTTTCATTAGGCGAGAATCCTTAAGGCTAGTGTTATTGTCTCACCAATTTCTTTATCTTTAGCTTATTTACAGTTTTGGTTGGTAAATATTATCCAGTCCAAAATATCAGAAGTAACGTTTCTAGAATGAAAGAAAATGGCACTTTTGTGAAGTTTTAATTATTTCATAAATCAAGTATTTTATCAGTTATTAGGACGGGTCTCTACAAAGTGCAGGGAAACCTCTGAGGAGGATTTGTTTCTTAACAAAGCCTTAAAATTTTCTTGTTTATGTGTTTGTTTATTTGGCGCAAAATTACACCATGGGCTGTCTACGCTCTGTCTACCGCGGGGAAATCGAACCCAATATTTTAGCATTGTAAGTCTGTAAACTTACCGCTGACACACAGGAGGATTTTTAAAATGGTTATAATTGCTATAAATAAACAATTGCATGAAAATGTAAAACATAACAACTACATCAGAAAATTGGGATAATTATCGGTTGAGTCAACCGGATTTTATTTATAATTATTTCGTAGAAAGCGTGGGATGATGATGAAATATATCTGACATTTCAGGCAAATTAAGACAAAGAAAAATTAAATCATTTGCAACTAGCTCGAATGATTCTAAATATAACACTATTTCCATTTACAAAAAAATCGGCTGTGGTTTCTAAATGTATATCTTTTGTAAATAACATTATTTTCATTTAATTAAACGGCCAAAATTGACTAAATTTAGAGACCACTCCTGACAATGGTGGAGTTATTATAACAAGCAAGAGAGACAACTTTGTAGATTTGTATTTACGCATTCAAGCAGTTATCTTAGAATCAAGCGCAAATAGGTGAAAGTTTTCGTCGCCATTTAACTCAGTTATTTCTTGTCTTCTTTTAGTCACACGCAAATATTTCCATAATGCACATATAATTTTTCGTTTTCTTTCTATTTTTCAATATTATAGCTATTAACAAGTATATTTATTTAACACCATAGAACGAGAGATCAGTACCTCATTGGAATCTTATATTTAACAGCGTATCTATAGGTAATATTTTTGACGTAAAGGAAAAAGAAATATGGTAATTAATATGCCGTTTTTTTGTTTTCATTTCTCAGATGATGGACGAGATACCTCAGTGAACGTAGTATTAAATCAGGACGAATCCACGATGATTTTTTCAGAATGCACCCTGTCGGCAGATAAGGTAAATACATTGTTTTTCCTATGATGTTTTTGAACTCAGCATATATTTACTAGCAATATATTGCTTGTAATATTTACGAAAAAAAAACCAGAGGTAATCATTACTTGAAACTACCTTTCCTGTTGTTAACGGTATTTAAAACGATGATTTTAGATGATTTTGTTTTTCATAAATACGGATTTCAACTGAAAAAATTTTCACTTCTTATTTACGATGTTGATGATTCTTAAAAATATATCAATTTTCCTTCAACGTTAAGTTGTTAAAACATATGGCGAGTTTAATGCAAATTATCCACGCACAAGTCCGAATTCCATATATTTCTACTTTTACACAATCATTATGAAACTAACAGTGGAGCTTAAAGTGGAGCTGCAGGTTTTCTGTTGCATACAAAAGTACGCTATCTGGTGACAAATTACCTTAGGAATTACACGCTACCTTTAAAAACGTTCTCTAGAACACAAATCAGTTACCAAGCGTAATTATCATGCGGTGCGGGGTATTTTTTATTTTAATGGTACTTGAAAGTTACACTTAGAAACTCAGATCTGTTTATCTTGTTTTTTTTGGAACATCATTACTTTCTATTTTTATGTGTTTAAATTACAGAAATGACGACATATAATGATAGCAAATATGATACTGTCAGGAATAGCTAAAATTCCCTTTCTAAGATACGAAAAATCATTTACAACACACTGTATTAATTTCTAATAAATGTGAGTGATTGGTATATTACGTAAACGCACCGTTTTTTTCGATATATACAAATAGAATGCAATTATTTTATTCTTACATGAAGTTCCCTTGTGAGTCATTGGTAAGTTGATGGACTCGCAACTCTATGATCCGGAGTTCAATTCCCTTCAGTGGAAAGAACGTAGATTGCCCATTGTGTAACTTTGCGCTTAAAAAAAACAATAATGCATGATTTCCTTAATAATTATAAACATATAAATAAAATATTTTTACTAGCTTTCAGAAGGCGTGTTTAATCATAGCTGCAGCGACACCTGTAGTAACTCTATTAAAGTATTGGTATCTTGCTTTAGTCTGGTTTTATACAACGTTGATTTTCATTAAGATAAGTAGATTTTATAACTGTCAGTTTTTAGTTTTAAGACTGGTTTTTATTATTACCTCCGTTTCCTGGAATAATAATGGTAATGTTTAAAGAAATTCCACAAATATGTTTGTTCATTAAAATGTATGTTAATTTAAATCAAACTTTGCAAAGAATGTGAAACCCTGAATAGAAAAACTTCAAAGTTCCCGTATGAGAAATATATATATATATATATATAATTTCCCACAACCCATATAGCTATCCTAATTTTAAACTGATAGACCAGAAAGAAGGCAGCTGGTCAACAGCATCAAATTCAAACGTTTGGAATACTTTTGTTTGATCTAATAGTGGAATGTTACAGTCACTCTTATAGCGCTTATGGCACTGAAAATCAGATTTCGATACCCGTGATGGGCAGAGTATAAACAACAACAACAAAAAAAAACCTTAAAGCGCACCCCAAAGTGCGGAGAGCGTTTATGCGGAACAGGCCGCGAATTGTAAATCCTCAGGTTCCTAGGCAAGCTGACCAACCACTAGGATATGCCTGACCTACGTGAGATAGAGCTAAAGAAGGTTTATCAATAAACTGTAGGATTTTCAATAACGCCTTTTACAATTGAAATATATATATATATATTTACCTGAAACCTTGACTTGTTTGGTCGTCACTGACAACGTTCTATTTATTTCTTTTATCAGTGTTCATCAGAATCATCCAATACAGATGCTCACATAGTCGTTTATTCGGTAGCAGATCGAACTAGTTTCCATTCCGCCAAGTGTTTTCTAGAACGACTTTCAGAGGGCGTGAACCAACCAATAATACTAGTAGGAAACAAAACTGACCTGGTTCGCCACCGTGTAATCACAACACATGGTAAGTATTCGCTTACATTGAACTTCATCATTTTCTTCTTCGGATCTGTTGGTAGTCAAAAAGTCACTAGTAAACCAATAAAATATTTAGTAATGATATATGTAGACTTTAAGCTACATCCTCATTTGAATTATACAGCACCTCATTCGGTCATTCAAACAAAAATACCCACTCCTGATTTGTTGTTCTAGAGTGTTTCCTTTGAACATGAGTAATAGACGCTAAAAACAATGATGGACTACTTTCAAACGAAGTCCTCTCACTTAAATATGGTATTCTATGTTGGCATAAAAACTCGTTAAACATAATATAGAATTAAATAAAGACTGTTTTATTTTCATATACGAAACCCAGGTCATAGCAATAACCCAATATTTCCGTAAGTTAATTTCAGAACAAAGTGTACTAAAGTAAAGCATATGTTGCTTAGTTACGGTTCAGAATGAAGCGTAGCGAGTAAAACACGTATGTTGCACAATAACCCAAGGTGGTCATATGTTAAGATTTTTATCGATTCAAATTAAACATCTTGTTCATCATTCCAAAAATATTTCGTATCTGTTATAAATAGATGATTTTACAGAATGTAACAAATTCTAAGTACAGAGTTTTTACCTACTTTAAGCACATTAATAATTTACGTTAAACACAGTGTCATGAGCTTTAAACACAGGTTTGTTTGCTTTTTACATTTCGCGCAAAGCTATTCGAGGGCTAGATGTCTCTAATTTTCAAGTGATAAATTAGAGGGAATGCAGTTAGTCAATGTCACTCAATACCAAATCTTGGGCTACTCTTTACCAACGAAACGTAGGTTTGATCGTAACATTATAACACTGCTGAAAGGGCGAGTATGTTCGGTGACAGTATTCCAATCCGCAATCCACAGATTGCGAGTCCAGCGTCCTAGCCACCATATCCTAAACAACGTTATATGACCATCTATTTTCTGAAACTTTTGCTTTTGGAAGAGCCAAGATTCTCGAGTTACAACTGTAGTTTTCACACCTTCATTAGCCTTTTTGACATCGGGTTAATCTTCAAGTGTTAGACTTGATTGTTATGTTTGTTCGTGCTTTATCTCTTGTTTATAATCTAGCAGGTTTGAAGTTATTTTCGAAGTCATGATAAGTAATTTGTGCCTTAACTATTAAAAACGCATGAAATTTACCACGTGAAGCATGTGTAAGATTTTAGGTAAGTACTGATGTTTTGAGGCTTACTTTAAAACAAGTGAAGGACTTTGTTTGTTTGTTTTTTGAATTTCGCCCAAAGCTACATGAAGGCTATCTG